GAGTTCCAGCATAGTTATCCTGGAACTCTCGTAAAATTTACGGGAGTTCAAGCATACTTATGCTGGAACTCCCGTAAAATTTGCGGGTGTATTTTTTCGGATTTTGAACAGTGTTTTCGCTCAAATTTAAAGTGGCTAAATTTCGATGACTTTTGAAACTTGGCTATTTTTCAACGACCAGTGGTAAATCTGGCTATTTTTGAATTTCTCCCTACTATACTAGATGAGGAAAGGCCCGTATATGAGCCCAACATTGTAATCTTAAAATTGTTGTTTGTTGGTGCTCAATTAATTTTTTAATAAATAAATCGATCATTGTTATATCCATTTAATAACTGATAGAGAATGATATTGGGGATCACAATTTACGATTAATTTATTTTAATAATTTACAAAAAATTAAACTATAAATTATAACCTGCTTAAGTTTCTCCAATTATTAACATAAAAACACTATATGCTATAATACTCATTTTAACATCAATGTCAAATACTCAAAACATAAACATCAAATTGTAAAATTGATTCAATGGTATTATTTCCCCACTATATTTGAACTTTTAACAAGATAATACATTAAAGGTACAAGTGTAATTTATATTAACAATTTTTCTACAATAAAAAACTTACCGATCTATTTGTAAACTAATTTTGAATACATCCAATTTGGTCTTGCAAGTGTTTCAATAGTGGGAACAATCAGCTACCTGATGAAAGTTAAAACGAACAACATCATTCTTTACAATACGAGAAAAGTTGAAAAAAAACTTATGGTTTTACTTTATGTCTTGTATACAACAAAATCAAGAGAAATTTTTAGTACAGTCAACAAAGAGAACTTCCAAGGGGACTTGCATCCCTAAAGAGGCAATTTACTACTTCAAACAAAGAGAACCAACTGCACTAAACAAATATTAACATGATATAAATTGTAGTAATTCAATATAGTAGTTCAAATTATATTTTATTATAACTCGATTAAAATGATGTTACTGGAGATAATAAATATCTGATAGAAGTCTATATAAATTAATAGGGATTTTAATATTCTTAATTAAGGATATAAGAGAAACGTGTTTATTTTTTCTACAGATTTATCATATGTTAATTTTTATAATGAAATACTATAAAATATTTTAAGACAATTTATAGATTGTTGAAAACTTATCATGGAAGAATGGAGTTCAAACCATATAAATCAAATTTTCACATCAATTGAGTACATAAGAGATAACCTCCTAGCACAGATGAACAAATATCATCACTTAAATTAACTTTTAAGGTTTAACAAGCTATAGTTTTTAAAATTACTTTTGAATATAACATTTTTAGGTTTGAAATCGCCTTCAAATAGTGTGAATACGTGAAAACCTTTTAAATTTATTTTTTAAATTGTCTTAAAATAGTATGGGTAAATATGAAAATCTTGTAAATATTATCTATATTTCTTTTTGTTGCTTTATTATTTAAAAGTTAAATTTACTTTTTCTGTAAAAACTTTTAGTTGACTTAAACAAAAATTAATAATTTTATCAAATGAGAAAAAATATCCAAAATGAGTATTTGAATGGAGTAACTCTTTGCAAAAGTAGTCTAATCAATTTTACATTTAAACTTTTATAGGAGTGATGTGGTCAAGGGAATATGGGGTCCACGTATATCAAGGAGGACACAATTTGCATTTAAGAAATGCAAACAATACAATATTTTTTTTTCGAAATGACATATATGCCCTTGGTTGACCATCTTTCCTTTTCTATATAATAGAAATAGAAAAATATTTATAAAATAAAATAAAAAGACCGGTGCACAACAAAGCTCTCGCTATGCGTGGAGTCTAGGGAAGGGCCAGACCACAAGGGTCTATTGTCCGCAGCCTTACCCTATATTTGTGCAAGAGGTTGTTTCCACGGCTCGAATTCGTGACCTCCTGGTCACATGACAACAACTTTACCAGTTACGCCAAGGCTCCCCTTTCCTGTCTTCTCTTTATATATTGTCAAAAACATATGATCAAGATTTATATACTTAAAGTTTGTTACAATAGTTTGCAGACAAATCAGGGGCAGCTAAAACAAGAAGTACTCTTATAATAAGATCTGCATCGCCTCATCAAAAACCAAAAGTTGCCACAAGAAACTTTACACCAACAGGAAAACAACAAGGTGTTTCATCAATAGACAAGAAAAACACAAGATATGCAGCAACAACAACAACAATTACAACGGCAAACCAACAGAAGGTGATCAAATCCAACAATTCCATTGATCAGAATGCAATAAGAACAACAAGGCAAAAAGAGACACATCTTAATTTCCTAGCTTCCAACCTATCGAAAACCATGGGAATGGAGTCGTCTTTAAGTAGTAAGCCCAAAAGCAGGGGAGTGTCCCCTGCAGGAAGGCCGAAAATCCTGGCTCAGACGATCCCAGGATTTTCGGATGAAACACCGGTTAATCTCAGGACAGACCGGTCCCTTTCAGCAACCAGGGGCCGGTCTATTAACCAACACCAATCAACTAACCAACGGCCTGGATCGTCATCATCATCATCTTCTTCATCATCAGTACATATTACAAAACCAACAAGACGACAATCTTGTTCCCCTAGTGTAACGCGCGGTCGAAAACAGGATATTATTACTAGTAATACAAAATTTCAACAGGGATATTCTACCACACAAGTTCTTGGCAGTAAAATGGTGGACAAGTTTATGAATGCTAGGAAATCAGTATATGAAGAAAAGGAAATTACAAAGGCAAAGTTGAATGGTTCTATAAATGAGAACTCTGGTTTTGGAAGGCATATATCAAGAATATCAGCAAATCTGGTTCTCAAACACATGGTAAGTGTATCTAATTTTACTCATTTCAAAGGATAATGTTGCACATAGACTATTTTACGTGTTACATACTTACATATACGAGTAGTCCGGGTGAAATTCAAAAATAGCTAGATTTTACAAGTGGTCATTTAAATATAGCCACAGTTTCAAAAGTAATCGAAATTTTGCCACTTTCATGTAAATATAAATTTGAACGAAATCACTGTTCAAAATCCGGAAAAATACTCCAGTATAATATATTGGAATTCCAGTATAAGTATATTGGAACTCCAGTATATTATACTGGAGTTCCAGTATAATATACCGGTCCAGCATAATATACTGGAACTTTTCGCGTGTTGGAGTTCCAGCATAATATGCTGGAAATTCATACACAGGTGCACTGATCTCCCGTATATTATGCTGGAACTTTTCGTGTTGCAGCAAAATAATGGCTATTTTTCAATGACTTTGCAAACGCTAGCTATTTCTCAATGACCAGTTCGAAAACTAGCTAGCCCGTGCTATTTTTACGAGTAGTCCATCGCTCTCTTAATTGAATTGCAACTAAACTCGGCCCATCTTATTTTACTCATTTCAAGGTATAATTTGTACTTATATTATTTTATGTATTACATATACGAGTAGTAAATTAATTAATCATATAATGACTTAACGTGACCAAAAAAAGACAACGAAACCTTCAATTTGGAACTAAATTGGGCTGGGCCTAAGTTTCTACTGATGTCCATAACTACTTTATGTTTAATTGGGCCCGCTATGTTTAACCAATATCCATAATGAAGAATTAACTTAAATAATCGCTCATCTAATAGCTTAAACAAAAATAGTCGATGGATGTATTTTATATATGTTATATAATATATGAACAACCGTATATAATCTTGTATATTGGGTAGAAAAATAAACAGTGAATCCGATCGGCTATTTGTGTAAAGATCGCTATCATCATTAAGCCTATTGATTCGGCTGACTATTGAAAGAAAGAAAGGGGCAAGTGCACAGATATTCATTCTCATGGATGCTATTTAGAGATTAGCCAGTGTATATTTTTTCTGAAATTTTAAACTAAAAATCTTAATTCAGGACAATTTATACATTTTTATCCAGAAAATTTGAAATTAAGGATGCACTGACAAAATCCTAAATAACAGCCCTTTAGAGTGGCTACCTGGTGTCATTTCTACAAGAAGAAAACATCTTCTAATGTTCAAGCGTTTGAAAATGACTTTCTCATGGAAAAAAATATTTTTTTTTATAATGATTTCTATTATATTTTCTCCGTCACAATTTATGTGGAAAGAGTTAATATCGAGACTCAAAACTTCTTAATTTTAACGGATTCGAATATAAAATACATTAAATTTTTGGAAATAAAATTTATATATTTAAAAATTACATAAAAAGTACTATATAATCACAATAACTAACTACTAAAAATATTTTTAAAATATATTTAAAAAAATCGAGATAAAAAAATAACCTGTTTCTATTGAAATGACAGGAAATCCGTCAAGACTCTGGTAATTNATTTACCGATCTATTTGTAAACTAATTTTGAATACATCCAATTTTGGTCTTGCAAGTGTTTCAATAGTGGGAACAATCAACTATCTGATGAAAGTTAAAACGAACAGCATCATTCTTTACAATACGAGAAAATTAAAAAAAAAACTTATGATTTTACTTTATGTCTTGTATACAACAAAATCAAGAGAAATTTTTAGTATAGTCAACAAAGAGAACTTCCAAGTGTGACGACCCAAAGGGTCATCACCTGTTTTCTCTTTCATTCCGTGCTTCCGAGGCCTTGAAAACCTCATTTTTACTTGCCTCGATTTGCGTGCGCAGTTCGGGCGCATAGCCGGAAAGCTTAAATATGAATTTTATGTAAAAATTGATGAATTTTGATATTAATATGAATAAAGTTGACTTTGGTCAATATTTTGAGTAAACGGACCCGGACCCATGATTTGACAGTCCCGGAGGGTCCGTAGAAAAATATGAGACTCGGGCATATGCCCGGAGTCGAATTCCGAGGTCGAGAGCCCGAGAAATGAATTTTTCTGTGAAATTATTTTTCAGAAATTAATATGGAAATTTGAAAAGGAAATTGATTAGAACGTGTTGGTATCGGGCCCGTATTTTGGTTCCGGCGCCCGGTACAGGTCTTATATGTGATTTAAGATATTTCTGTGAAGTTTGGTTGAAATCAGACGTCGTTTGACATGTTTCGGACTATAAGTTCTAAATTTGAAAGTTTAGGAAGTTGAAGAAAAACTATTGATTTTGAGGTTTGATTCATTATTTTTGATGTTATCTTGGCGATTTGATCGCACGGTTAAGTTCGTAGGATGTTGTTGAGTTAGTGTATGTGTTTGGTTAGGAGCCCCGAGGGCTCGGGGGTGTTTCGGAGGTGTTTTGGTATGGTTTTTGACTTACGGAAAGTGCAGGTTTGCTTCAGCTGTTGCAGAACTTATTTTTCTTCTTCGCGTTCGCGATGTAACCCACGCGTTCGCGAAGCTTCAGCTTCATCCCTCTTCGCGTTCGCGTCAGCATCCTCGCGATCGCATAGCGTTAATTGATCCTGGGGGACTTGGCCAAATTTCCTTCTTCGCGTTCGCATGCCATCACTCGCGAACGCGTAGCATGTCAACCCCCTTCATCGCGTTTGCGTATGTGTACACGCGATCGCGTAGACCTAAATCCTGGACCCCCAACCTTTTTTCTTCACGTTCGCATCCTTCCCTATCGCGAACGCGATGGTCAGTTAAGTCAACCCTTCGCGAACGCGACTCCCTTTCCGCGAATGCGAAGGGCAATTTTGCCCAGTTATATTTTTAAGTTTCAGAACAGTGTAGTCGCGAAATTTTCATAAAAACATCCGAGTTTCTTCTTCTCCAAGGTCCTTAGGCATCCATTGAAGCTTCCTTTCATCAAGACCTCTTGGGTTAGTAAATCCCAACTCGTTTTCTTCATTTTCTATCATTATTTATTGAATTCCAAAGCCTAAATCATGTAATTTAGGGTAGAAATTGGGGAAAATGGGTAGAACTAGGGCTTTTATATTTTTTCTTGATATTAGACCTCGTTTTGGGGTCGGATTTGAAAACAAATTATATATTCGGGCTCGTGGATGAATGGGTGATTTAATTTTGGTCCGAACCTCGTGTTNCAAATAAAACCATAAGGTGATGGTATTTTTTTTTTTCCTTTTATATCATTTTATATGGTGTGAAGATTTTTTTTTATTTTTTTATAGCAAATTAGTATATGTACCATTTTTACAACGTCATGACCAGTTAATGGTTATTGTCGAAATTTACATATAATAACTAGCTTATATGCAACTTGATTATGTAAATACCTTTTATACTATAATGCATAGAATTAAAACTCTTTGAGGATAACTTAAAAACGACTAAGAATATATAGTCTGCTATATTGACAAAATTTATCTAGTAAGATGACTTTATTGTGATTAAAGTTCAATAATCATAGGTGAAAGAAATTAGATTAAACTAGTGCCGGTATAGTTATTAACTTGCCACTTACAATTAAAGAATACTAGTCTTATAGTACGCACGTTGCGCGTGTATCCATACTAATAAAAATATGAAAATTAAATAAATAATAGTAATGTGCTTGAGTTATAAAATAAAAATTAAATAAAAAATATAAGTTCATGAAAATGATGAATATTGACTTTTAGCCATAATCTTTATTTTGTGGTTATGGCATCTAGTTTAATTTTTCTTTAAATCGTAATGTCATGTTTATTATGCATATGTTAAATTCAATTTGAAGTTTAGAAGCGAAATTTTAAAAGAAGATTTGTATTGTGGGAGACATTTAAGAATAACTTCATACATTTTTTCGTATTATGACTATTATTGCCTTTCTAATATATTTATACAGTTTTTTTTCAAGAAAATTGACTCTTAAAAAAATAATAAAATCATTAGATGTAACTAAAATTCAAATTAAAGACAAATATGCCATAGTTTCTATCTAAGAATGCTTGGAAAATAAAAATATACCACAGACAAAATTTCTTTCAAATAAATATCTTAATTGACTTCAAAATCTTAATTTCTTTCGTACATATAGTTTATTGTAAGGAAAGAATTTTTATAAAGTCAAGTCCTATCTAGTTTAAATGAGGAAGAATTTAGTAATTATATTTTTAGTTGTTTTCAATATCCTAAATATTAGGGAAAGATTATTAAATGACTACTTTGTGTGGTATGAATCTTATTTTTAAAGGGTAAAAAAGGCGGACGACATTTTCAAAATCTTAATTTCTTTCATACATATAGTTTATTTTAAGGAAAGAATTTTTATAAAGTCAAGTCTTAATAGATTTTAAAGCCCTACATTTTAGACTTCCTATCTATTTTAAATAAGAAAGAATTTAGTAATTATATTTTTAGTTGTTTTCAATACCCTAAATATTAGGGAAAAATTATTAAATGACTACTTTGTGCGGTATGAATCTTATTTTTAAAGGGTAAAAAAGACGAACGATATTTCACAAAAAGCCTTCGTGCTTTTACTATAAATAGACTCTATTATGTGCGATGCACGAAATCCATTTTGGAAAGAATTACAAGAAAATACACGTGACTTCACACCATAACAAAAAATTAGTCCGTATTTTTAAGTTTTATCCGACCTAGCCCATATTGTACATATTCTGAAAGCACTAGCAAATTTAAAATCTGTGTTCTTACAACCATTGTTTCTAAAAGCTTTGGAGTTAAATCTGTGTTCTCACAACCATTGCTTTCACTGTCTCTTCTTCTCACATCTTCTACATATGCTTCAAGGAGCTGTGTATTTTCTGTTTCTCCCCTTGTATCACGTGGTTGCAATGTAAGAAAAGTGAAGAGTAGAAGTGTCACGACCCAAAATCCCTCCGAAGGAGTCGTGATGGCACCTAGGCTCTAAACTAGGTAAGCCTAACATTAACAGAAATAACATTGATATTCACTAATTTCAAATTATATAACTCTGAACAATTAAAAATTCCCAAAACCAGTGGTACAAGTCATAAGCTTTACTAAGAGTAGTTATACATAATAAATACATCATTGTTCCAGAACAAAAGGAACAAATGGAAATAAGTACAAATGAAGGTGAATCCGAGGCCTGCGAACGCAGCAGTAGGTTTACCTTGAGTCTCCACCGCGATGATCCGCACATCTACTACCGATCGAATACCTGGATCTGTACAAAAAAAGTACAGAAGCGTAGTATGAGCACACCACGATGGTGCCCAGTAAGTATCAAGACTAACCTCGGTGGAGTAGTGACGAGGAACAGTCAAGATACCTACTAGTCAAAGAAATTGAACAGGATATGATAATGAACTACCAAGATAAAA